TATATATCAGGAAAATTCTATGTAATTTGTATAGTTTCAAGAATCCTAATAAAGTACTAGCATGACTGCTAAAGTTATAAAAAAAAAAAAAAAAAAAAAAAAAAAAAATTCAAATATATCAAGTTGATGTATTATGCTTAATGAGATGACTAATAAGATTTTTATTAAAAGTATTAACTTATATTAAAAAATAAAATATATTAAATACTTAGTAACTATAACATATTTTTAACAATATTAATCAGAATTATTAGTAGATAAAAGCTTACAAATTATTTATTTTTGAAGCCTAATCCAGTTTGCATTTAAGATTAAAATTTTTTTGCCAGTTCAGCTTATATATTAAATTTTTTTTTTAGCCTAACCTGATCTAATCTAACTTATAAAATTTATTATATAATTTTAAAAATTTTTCAATTTAGTCTAGTTTGTAATTATAAAATTTTGCTTTAGATCTAGTCTAACTTATATAAATTTATGAATTAAACCAAACTAGGCTAGGCTATAAGACCTAATACAGATCTTTATTAGTAAATATAAATAGATAAATACAGAAACTAGAATGTTTAAATAAGAAACTTACAAATAGGTTTTAAGTATATCAACTAGTATAAAACTTTTGAGCAGACTACTTATAACTAAAGTTGTACAAATAACAAGTTGTATACTTTTTCTATAATTGTTTTCTGTAGTTGTAATATAATTATTAACTGAATATACTATTAATAAAATTCTAAGTTGCAAATACTTGCTTTAATATTAAAAAAATATATATATTTTTTGTTATATTTCTATTGTTTAGGTATTTTTTTAAAAAAATAATAATTAAAAAAAAAATAAAAATAACAGAAATATACTAAAAACTAATATATTTTAATATTTTATAATTAATGTTTGTAAAAATTACAGACTTTGTTATTAGGTAGCTAAGAAAATATTTTATCAATAATAGTAAAAGTAAAAAATTTATACTAATTTGAATTAATATAAAAAAAAAAAATATTAATATTACCAAAAGTTGTTATAAAAAGTATAATTAAATGCCATTGCCATTATAATATTTATATATTACATAGACAATTATCTAAATTTTTACTGTCAATAGGTTTTGAACTTACAACCTACCACTTAGAAGTTGACAACTTATCCACTTTACTAAGTCATTACACCCTTAGATAAATGCTTTAATTTTTTTAAAACTTTGATAAAAATATCTTAATAACTGCTAGACCAAATTTAATAAATTTTTTTTTATTTAAATTCTATAAATCTATAGAATTTAAAATTTTTTTACTAAATTTAGCCTAATAATTATTGAAATATCTTAATTAAAGTTTAAAAAAAGTTAAATTTGCAAAAAATATAATTAGTAAATTTTAAAAGTATAAAAAATACTTCATTTTTTGTATAGCTCTAAATATATAAATAATTTGACCTGATAAGTATAAAGTTTACATGTTTTTTAATTAAATTAATATAACATAAATGAACTCCAAGTAAAACATAAAAATTGTTATATTTTTTTCTTTAATGCATTTTAATTCTAATTTTCGAAATATTTTTTTGCTTTCAATACGTCTTAATTCTAATTCTAAAAATATTCTTTTGCATCTAATACATTTTCAAAATATTTTGTACATCTTAATCCTATTCCTCGAAACAATCTTCTTAATTCTTAATTTAGAACCTCGAAATATTCTTTTGCTTCCACATAGCTTTTCAAATCACCTACATCAATTCTTCCATTAACTTGTACAGCATAAAATTTAAAATGGTTTCCTTTTATAACCCAAGCCAAAAACTTTCCTGTAGCATCTTTATCTTCAAGTTTAGCACCCTTTAATTCAGCTTCTTTAAGGAATTGTTCTATTAAAGGTAGAGCTTCACGCTTTAGAAAATAAAAACATGGACAAGCATTACGAGAATTTGTAGACTCTGGATTCGGTTTCTCAGAAAAATCCGTCACTTCAAATAGACCAATATCATTTAAATTATTAATTGTTAAGATACCATATTTACTAATTTCGTCCTTAGGAATGGTATGTGTAGTCACTAAACATCCATCATTAAACGTTGAAAATTGATTTAATAATTTGTTAAAATTAAAATCTTTAAGGAATAAAGTGTCACCTCCAATTATAAGTAAATCATTATTAAATAATTTGAAATAATTCAATCCAAATAATAGATCAGCTACAGCACCTAAGCGATTTTCGTTGCATGTACTTTTGTCATTTGCGATATTCGATCTTGGAACACCATTTTTATCAGCCCATGATATAAAGCTTTGGTATGATGGATTATTGGTTACCACGTAAACAGAGGATGCAATGTCAATATTAGCGGTTTTAAATATTTGAAGCCAATGTGTAATTAAAGCATCTTGACCTCCTATTGGTAATAAGGCTTTTGGAATTCCAAGAAGATTTGAATATTTTTGACTAGTATCCTGCCTGATGTTTCTCTGAAGTCGAGTTCCATAACCTGCACCTAATATTAAGATTTTAAGATCCATTGAATACGTAACGGCAATACGAAGTTGAAATTTTGAGCTTTTATTTATTTATTTTTTTTAGTGAGGTTGATTAATTGAAAAGTTAGTTTAAAACTTTTAATACTTGCAAACAAAGCATGTGATTATGCAGTTCTGATTGGGAGTATGAAAGTAGGTGCAATTCGCTGTTGTAACACTTTCATGCAATCCCTGTAATTTTGACCAATCAAGATTTAGGATCAGGTTCAGGGGAAGATGATTTTCTGAATTCTGCGATTGGCCGGAATTACATAAAGTCGGCTAGCATTATGATCCACAAATTCTGGCCGAATTAATATCAGCCGGCATTATAGGCCAAAATTTAAAATCATCGTCCCTGACCAGGTATAACGTGATGGTCAAAATTTTAATTAAGCCGTTATTCTTGCTTTTTTGTAAAAAAAAAGTTGGTTCATTTCGATTTTATGTTGCACTTGATCCTGGTCAAAATTACAAGGGACGCAATTATTTTAGCGAGTAATGATAATGCAAACTCTAAAAAGGAAATAGCCAATCAGAGAGTGCGTGCGAAAGAAGAAAAAAGCAAAAACTAGTGTTTAAAGACTTGGTGCACTAATTAAAAATGTCAGGAACGAAAGTTTACATGTAGTGAGTGCTAATCTTTTCTATAGCCTTTAACTTTAAGGCCCTAACCCTAAATTTTCATTTCGCGCACTTACTTTATTTACAAAATTGAATTTCCATTTTTGGGGGACGGGGCATCTCTTTAATTTTCTCGATTAACTTTAGGGTTAGAGCCACTTTGGATTAGGGTTAGGAGGTAATTTTGTAAGCAAAACCTCATTCCCGACTTTTTATTAATGCACCAATGCGGGTTTAGATTGTCGGTTCAATTTTTTTCATTTTCTATAATTGATTGGCGGTTGATCACATGATTTGCCCGTTTTAGACGACCCAATTTTTGGTTTTTCGAGTACGTATGTAAAACCAATTTCTTGATAATTTGGTAACAATCTGTTGCCTTATTGACCTTAACGCTAACCTCAACAATGATGCAATATATTTTATTATTCAATATGTCTCGTTTTGACTTTACAGTGTCGTTCAATCAAGGGTTGGATTCTTATGCGTCCAATAGGAATTGAAAATTAGTAAACCCCTTTCATATACGTTAATTTCGGTTAGAAGGTTAGAAATTTTGTACATATGGTAACATTTTAAGCACTGTCATTGCTTTATAAAGCTTAAAATAGTTTTAGAAAATTTTGTTTGACAATTTTGGGTCAAAACTTATGTAAGCAATAAAAATTCGTGTAAGTATACAATATTGGGCATACGAAAATCATGCTAATATTTAAGTATCAATTTTAGAATCTACGTGCAACATCAACTACCTATGTTGTGCCCAGATGTCAATTATCAGCCTAAAAAAATTAATTTAGCCCAAGGTGTTTAGGTAAATTTTAATTGACAATTGGGACAAATTTAGATTTGGGCACAAGCACATCAATGGAGTTTGTACCCCGTTATCCATAACCGTTTAATCCGGATAGCCTATTTTTTATCCATTAACAGATTGCACTAAATTATTGAGTAATAAAAAAATCTTTATTCGAAAGCAAAGTGCCAAACTTTAAATTTACAAAACCCCGAAATTCACCGATGACCTTGCTCGTATTTGACTAGCTACCAGCTACTATTTTGAATAATACGTAAATTTACATTCAATGTTTTTTCAATACTAAAGGATATTCGGATTAGCCAACTAGATATTTGAATAACATATCTGGATTCAAACTCATGAAACTACCTGGTAAAAGTTGCACAGATGTAGATGTATTAGGATAAATTGAGTTAAAATAGGGACAAACATCTGGATAATAATCAAGCTACCTGGTAAAAGTTGCACAGATGTAGATATATTAGGATAAATTGAGTTCAAACTAGGGACAAACATCTGGACAATAATCAAGCATGCTTTCTCTCTGTGGTCTATATAAGATATTTAATCTGTAAATATTATTTGACCAAAGTTTTGTTTCAAATTTGTATAGAATGGCCAGCCAAACTACCTACTTTATTTTACTCTAGAGTTCCGATCCATTATCCGTTTATCTATCAAATATCCAGATCTTTTACTATTGAATTATCCGGATATCAATAGTAAATGGATATCCGGATAAATTCAGATATGGATAAATGGATGGTGAATCTATCCGGATTGGAACTCTAGTTTACTCAAGCATATGTTGAAGAGTCACGTACGTATCTATTAATACGACGTGCGACTTTCACATATAAGTTATATAGTTACATCTGTTAATTACTTGCCATCAGGAATAATACATTAATTAAGATCGCTAATTTAACCGAATTATAAAAAAATTATTTAATATCAATATTGCATCGATATATATTATTTTAGACATTTACATTGAATTTTATGTATGCACGTACGTATTTTTTAAAAAAACTTGAGAATAAAAGCCGTATCTAAAAACAGAAACTATATATATTTTTTGTTAAGCGGCTGCATTTGTAGAAGTTATGTGGTTTTCTTGAGAAAAACCTCGAAATATTTCCGACATCTATTTTGCATATTATGCATGCATGAAAAGAAAAATGAAATTAGGTTCAAAAGAGGAAACCATTATCCCTAAAGTTTATAAGGACGAACAAAATTCTTAGGTCGCGAAACACAACATACGAAAACCTTATTATGAAGCTAATGTAAGTTGATCATAGACCATAAGAACAGGGATAATCTGAAACAATGAACTCGATTTTATTTTAATTTATTTTTTTTGAAATTCTCGATCTTTGTATAACGAAATGGAGAAATTAAAACTTATCAATACTTTCAATTTGAAGAATGGAATACGTATAAATTTATTTATGAAACATTTAACAAGTTATAGATTGTTTTGAAGATTAACCAACAACTTTTGAGAAAAGAAACGTTTGATGGTCATGTAGTCAATTGAGGTCTATGTAGCCAATTAAGATGAAATGTCCTTTTAAATAACAACTATTAGAATATAAAAGATAAAACCCATGCATTTTATAATAAAAATCGAGTAAATTTGACATTTTATAATAAAAAATCGAGTAAAATTGACATTTTATAATAAAAAATCGAGTAAATTTGACATTTTATAATAAAAAATCGAGGAGATTTGATAAGTTTTAAATCAGGTTAATATTAGCTGTACCGGAAGGTCCACCGTTTTCATAAAATGCCATCTGTGAACCTTGAGCGCGTTTTCGATATTTAGAAGCGCAGGGATCTTTATAATAATAATCATCTTCAGTACGTTTAGAAACGGTGGTGTTTTCTGCAGGTTTGGGAGTGTATGCAAGCAAGATACCATCCTCATCGCAGTTAAGATTAATATCATAAAGTTTGGATGTAAACGGAGTGACACTGCCATCTTGGTTAATTTGTAAATTTAGAGCATCGGTGATATTATGAAGAATCTTTCCACAATCGTCAGTAATAAAAGCACAATATTGCTTATCCGGGCTAAAACCGCTTGAGAAATAACCTGTGGCGGTAGTAGTACCACATTCATCCTGGGTGTAAACGGTGATGCCTTTAAATTTATTATTAAATATTGCGGTAGCAACAGCACAAGGACATTTTTCCTCATGTCTCTTAGCTAAAGGTGAACGTTTTTGGGGGCATGATGATGTCTCTGTCCGTGCAACCAACGACAAATTTTCAGGCACTGCCAAGGCAGCAGCCATAGAAATAAGAAGGCATAAAATGGCCCAAGATGTAAAGTTTTTTAACATATTAATATGTATATTAATATGTGAAAGACTATTTACAATAATTACAATAAAAAAAAATAACTAATTATCGAAAAAAAGTAGATCGATAATGAAAAGAAAAAAACTTTTTTTGAAGAGGATAACGACACCCTTTATATTCCTTTCCTGACATTATATTTTTCCTTATTTTTAGAATGCTTGTTTATTTACAAGTAAAACAAAAGAGATCATACAATAAGTTAGTTATATATGTATACTTTAATAATTTATACATCTACGGAGCTTGCATTTCTAACAGTAACTTTGTAAGGCTAGTTTTCAAGATAGTACAAAAAAACTATAAACAGCAAACACGATAGAAGAAACCATTGTGAAAATTTTTTTTTTTTTGTATAAAATAAAATAAAATAAAATAAAATAAAATATTATTTTATCCAACCTCATTGAAGGAACTTGGTGATTATCGTTAAGATCATTGTTAACAAGCACATTGGACATTCCTTATTTGGAGTCGTTTGTTGACCCTTAGACATTGATTTACGATTTTGGATAGATATGTTAAACCAATCCCATTTTTAAGTCTTCTGCGACCTTAACAGTCTGATCTTTCGTTCCAACAACATGCACCGGGAACACGGAAAATCATAAAACCAATTTTCCAAAGGAAATAATTAACGATATATATTCATGACAATGTATCATTTTGTTATTTAATTCATGAGATCCATTTTAAACCATCGAGACATCATTGCAATAATCGTGCATCTGTCACGTGCATAGAATCACAGGAATCGGCTATAAGACTAAATCGACTAAACATGGTAATTTACATATAAATTTTTTAGTCGATTAAATCGATTCCTATCCCTACACAGAATAGCTTTAGACATGGACTTTAAACTGAGTTTATAACGATAATGTAAATTTGTTTTAAATGTTTAATTAATGGTAACATGCTTGTACGTACATGCTTGGACTTGAACGGGACAATCCAAAACAAAAGCTTTGGCACCAGCTCTGCGTCATTTTTATATACCGTATAACCTGGGTCCAAATATGTACCAGGTATTCAATATGACATGATCGCGATCTAATCTTAACCTTTAATTTGTATGACAAATAATAATTAAGCAAGTATCGATATTGTTATTTTGATTATAATTTGGTAAATTAAATAAATTCACAATTTTTCTAATAATCAATTATTAGAGATTTTACTTGCACTAATTTATGCCAATTATTGGTTAGTTGTTGGTAAATCTATTTAAAGCTTTCAATTTATGCTGCAAAATTGTAATCGCCAGCATTTTAATTTTAGATTTACTTCATGGTATAAACCTTTTGACTCGGTGCTGCCTCAGAGTTTCTTGGTCTTTCAAGCCATGGAGTGGGTTCATGCAGACACTGCCACATAAGGCTTTTTCATTTTATTGTTACGTAATAACGTATTAGGTAAGTTTTTTTTTTTTTTTTTTGCTTATTATAATTATTATATGATTATTATTATCGTCGTTATATTTAGAAAAAAACAGTGTATGTATAAAAGTACCTTCGTATGCACATACCCTCAAAAACTGTTTCTCTTAACATTTCCACATTATTCTTGATCTTTAAAGCATTATTTAAATTTAATTCATTTTTATTTGTCTATGGAAACTGAACTACTATGTGAGACAGTGTAACCTAAAATTTGATTTTCGCGTTTTAAACTGACATTTTGGCTGTGCGTAAATTTCTTAACTCTAAACTATTATACTCACATGATCTCAAAGCCTCTCACAAGGACTTGTCAATTCAAGATCTCGTAAGAAATAATTCAAGTGGCGTCTCTACAGTATTTATTAATTCGGATCTCTGATAAACAAACTTTTGATTAATGGCTGTGTAAATTTTTAAAGGCTGTGTTAAAGGATACCATTTAAAGAGTTAATTGGCAAAACCTTTTGCCATATTTCATTATTATCGCTATTTTGTCCTTTCAATCAAATTGCTAATATTCGACTTGATTTAATTTTTAATCCTTCTAAGTGGAAATTCGTTCAGTATATTTAACGTGTTGGTTTTTTACTCGAGATAGAACAATATAAATTTGTCTTATTTTTCTTATTTCTATATAATTTTGCAAAATTTTTAATTGTGTATAGACGTTATACAGTTATACGTACTATTATATATATATATAAATATATCAAGTTTAGAACTTATAGCCAAATAAAATTTATATTATAATCTTGTATATAATATAGATGCAGACATTTGAGGACGTATTGTTATGTCCAATTGACGTGTCGCGTCAAAAGTGCTATAACGTAGGACGCAACAATTGACGTAGTGACGTAGAACGCAATGGTTGATATATGTTTATAAATGCAGAAATTTGAAGACGTATGGTTACGTTTCGTCACGTCAAAATGCTGTGATGACGTAGTCGTAACAATTGACCTTTGCCGTAAACTAGTTACAGCAATATAAAAAGTTCCGGCAATAAATATAACAAGTTTTTTACGGCCGGTTTTATAATTCCTGAAACACAGTCGAAAAATGGCTCTGCAAATTTTTACCGAATAAGTCAAATATGATGGCATGAGTCAAATGTTACGGCACATGTCAAGTGTTATGGTACATGTCAAGTGTTTGGCAAACGTTAGTTATAGCTTTTTGACACGTCTTTGAGTTACGTCCAATTAATGTTTGAAAAGGGTTTGAAGAGTGTAAAACATTTTTGCTTAGAACCTTTTGTTAGTCAGTTTTTAAAATAATATATTTATAGATATAATATACTATAAGTACATTTAGTAAAAGTAATTTACTACTATTAAATTCTATTATTTTGAAATTTTATAAATAAATAATACTGTAATTTATATTTAAGAATTTCTATTTGTATATTAGTCAAAAGACTTTTTCCATTAATCCTTTTTTACAAATTTGGAAAAAAACACAAAATCAATGATAACTCTGAAAACAGTATAAAAAACATACCAAAGTGTTATAAGAAAAAGGAAGCAAAAAGACAAAATATATAGATATAGTACAGAAACATAGTAGCTAAAGAAATCAAAAACCATTGTAATAAAAAAATTTTGCATAAATAAGAAAAATTTTTAAAATTTTTAGAATTTTTGAAGATTGGAGTTAATCTTAAAAACAACAAATAGTAATATATAATTAAAGATAGAGTGCATGTAAATCATTTGTCATATAATTTGCATAATAAATTTAGATTTACATAGTAAATAAAAATATGATACTAATAAAATTTTTTAAAAACATATCAAATTTTTATTTTATTTTATTTTATTTTTAATATTAAACTAGCTCTTTTAAGACTAAGGCTTTTATTTAGTAGTTAGGATATAAGGACTCATAACTAAGACTCAAAGAAGTTACCTTTATATTAAAGAGTACAACTAGTCACATGTACACTTTTGGTGTTTAATTTAAGTAGTCTGTCAATAGTTTTACATTAGCTGTCATATCTGCAATCTAACTAGAGATATTGTCTATTTAAATCTTCAATACTGCAATCTTTACTATATTACTAAATCATCTCTGATACATATGTTAGTTAAAAAGGTTTAGATACTTTTATTTATATTCTTAGAACCCTATATCTTGTTTTATGCAGTATATCTTTAGAAGCATTATTTTTATGTTCTACATATAGCTGACTTAGTTTTATGTAATATGTTATAGTTATTTAATACTTGCAATTATAAGAGTTATTTGTTTAACCATTATGTTATACTATTTCTATTTTTATAAAGTTCATTTAAACTCTGTTACTTATTTTTCTAACTTTTTTTCTTTATTCTTTTACTATCCAACTCAGAATTTGACAAACTTTCCAAATACCCAATTCAAATGATCCAATATAGTATACTTTTGATATCCTTTTTCTTTAATGATTCTGGCAGTTTGGTTAGTCATATATTTCTTTATATATCTTTCTATCTAATTGCATTTATCTATTTCTTATTAGAGTTTTCTAGACTTTTATCAGTCCAAAAATATTGTTAAGAGTTTATATTATTTCTTTACTAGAAATTTTCAAATAGGATTTTGTCTTCTTAGTTTCTTAGTCTTCTATATCTAGTAGTCTTATCATAGGTTTGTACCAAAGCCTTATATAATATTAGTTATTAACATTTTTCTATATATATATAATATTACATTCAAATTTTTATTCAGTTTTTAAAATATATAAATTAAAATAGTTTATTTATTATAATAAAATTTTATAATATAGATTATTTTAAAAAAACTATACTTATATATATTATAAAAATTTTGGTAATAATCTAAATTCTTGATAATAAAATTTTAATTAATTGATTATCATATAATTATCATATAATTTTTATAATAAATTTATAATACTTAATTTTTAAATAAACCTATCTTAGGGGTGTGGCGACCTAATGAAGTGGATAGGTTGTCAACTCCCAAGTGGCAGGTCTAGAGTTCAAATCCCAGTGATGGCAAAAATTTGCAATTCTTTCTGTGTTATGGCTAACTGTCTTCCGTGATTAGTTGGAATAGGATACCTATAACCTATGTCATACCAGCCTGACTGGAAGGTTTAGACATTCATGCAACGTTGTACAAAAGAACACAAACCGGTACCAGGTGGTGTGAACCCAAGATAAGTCCTTAGACTGTATAAATCATGGGAACCAGGTAGGAGGACGGAAACCTACTTGAAAGACCCGAATAAAGAGGTAACCTGAACTTTTGATGGTACTACTGTAAAGACTAGACCTATGAAATGGAGCTAGAACTTGTGAAACCAAGCAAAGAACCAACCTTTGAGAAGGGACCGAATGGAACCAACTAGGCCATCAGAATTTCCAGGTTCCAAAGGAAAAGATTACATGCCAGCAAACATGTAAACCAAAGATGTATGATTACGATCTGCCTTTTTGGGCTATCTGATTTGGGAGCTTGGTAGAACTTGAATTAAATACAAAAGTAGTAGGGATATGTTGTAAAGTCAGTACCAGGGTTGGAGTGAACTCTAC